CAAAATTTTCAAACTGAGGTGGGTGAGGCTCTGGATCCCATTCCCTCTACCCCATGATCGTAATGGACTATTTGTTCCAAAGGCACTGAAATAAAGAACTCCTGAGTTTCTGAAAACAATTTGATCAAATTTTCAAGTAAGGGAAAATAACTTATAGAGGCAAGTGGGAAAAGAGATACAAACACCATTGACGTATGAGATGAAAAGCATGGCATCACTACAGAGGGACTAATCCTTCAAAACCTAAACTGTAACACCAAAACATTTCCCATAAAACCTCAAGATCCATACATTAGGGGTATTCTAATTACACAGCACCAAAAGATTCTCACCTATAAAACAGAAACTTAATTCTCATAACATTGTAGAATACAGAACACAAACAGGTAACATTTTTCCTTGTCCACACTTGCTTTTAGAGAAATAAAATGACCTTAGCACAACTAGGGACCAACCTAAGTCATGCCTTGCAGTTGGTGTTATTATTCACACTCTGTTGGGTTTCAGAATAAACTCCTAACTTCAGTATTCTCTGAACCTTTTCCTTCACTTTCCCAGCATTTCTATGCACTCGTGTCTCCTGGTTCCACCATGTTCTCTGGAACTCTTCCAATAACATCTCCGATGCCACCTGGACCCCACAGTCACATCCTGGAATGCTGTCCCTCCTCCCCCACCCTCGACCCTCTGACCTTCTTCCATTGCTGCTAGTCCAGCTCCAAGCCAGGATTCACCTCATGTCCACTCTCTCCAGGGCCACCACTTGCACCCAATGTTGACTTTGTACCTTCCTCTAGCAGACCAAGGCACAGGGCTTGGGCAAGAAAATGGGGGCTGAATTTCAGTGCCCACACCTCCTCAGTACACAACTGTACATAATGGTCCTCACCCTGCCCCTCCCTCTCCTGGTTCTCAAAACATCCCTGGAGAAAGACTTAGACAGATGCTGTTCAACATGAGCTGGCCTCATCAGCCCTTCATAATGCTTACCATACCCTTGATGCTGGCTGCTTCTGATATTTCAGCCTAACCCCACGATCCCACATTCACCCTCACACTTAGCAAAGTTATCGATAGGACTGAAGCCGGCTATTGAGCAGTACCCTCAGCTCTCCACAGTTTTCCCTCCCATCTCTTTCTCTTCCTCTCTCCCTCTCCCTATCTCTCTCTCTCTCAATCCCCTCAGCCTTCTTCCCATGTTTGTAAGAAAGACTTTAAACTTGCTAAGACAATCAGTTGGTCTGCTCCATGCTTAGGCCACACCACCAACGTAGGTACAGTTCTGGGATCCTTCGGGGAAACTGGGAGAGGGAGAATGCAGACACAGGAGGGCCAGGTGGGAGAGGTCGGGTGCTCAGGGTCATTGTGGACCAGTCAAGTCCTTATTTTATATCATCTCCAATGGCTACCTAGAAGGATTCTAACTTGGTCACAAAGAATGCGGACCTACCCTCCACCTCATCTAAACCCATACCAGCAGCACAGACTCAAGACAAAAGCACAGTGCTTTTCATGTCTCAACCATGAGAAGAAAATTCTCTTAATCAAGTAAGACCCAAGAAAAGAATAATCTGGTTTACAACTTGGTTTCTTCTTCCAAGGACTCCTTATTGGGTGGGCATTATGTACCAGTCCCTGTGCTAGGCACTGTTGCTAGAATTAAATGAGGTAACAGGTAAACTGTAAAGAGAAATACATTTATCAGTTATCCTTATCCTTCCCCCTATCTCCAATTAGACTATGAATGCTTTATGGGCAGAAATCACATCTTAGTATCCCCTATAGTACCTGGCACAGAGCAGGTCCTCTAGGAGTATTTGTTGAATGACTCCAGCAGTCCATACCTACAGCTGAAAAATCTCCATCCCATCAGCCACCAGCCCTGACACAGGCCTTGGCCACCACAACAGCTTCCAAGCTCATCTCTCTGGCTCATGGGACTTTTACCTCCTCTTCAGAATCTGAACCTATACCTCCTTTTTATATTAGAGAAAAACTGCATCAATAAGTAAGTTAAAGGTTCATTTATGGCTAGAGCCAATAGGTGTATTATGCAAATGAGTCTCTATGTTATTGAGCAAAGCTAAGGAAAAAAGACAAAACAAAACATAACATTAGAGATTACAGAAAGCGAACTGACTGGTCCATTTAAAATACACCTCCCCCAGCAAACTTACTTTCTAAGAACCATGCTGGCTTGCAGATGGAGGGTTGGCCTCTTCTTCTTCCTCTTTCTCACAGAAGGGTAGGGTACGGTAGGGTAGAGTCAGGAGGGGAGGGGAAGGGAAGGGAAAAAGGAAGGGAAGGGAAGGAAAGAAGGAAGGGAAGAGGAAAGGGAAGAAGGAAGGGAAGGGAAGGGAAGAGAGAAGGAAGCGAAGAAAATCCCTCATAAACAGGCCATTGATTTTTACATAGCAGCCTCATCTTTGAAGGTCCAATGATACTTACTTTGACATATGTAAAATTTAGAATGTGATCAGTGGTTTAATCTTCCCTGTTTAATTTCTTCCTCACACCATTTGAATTGCTTATTTTACACATCTGTCGGAAGACTTGAACAATTGAATTTTTTTGGCCAATAAGATGCAACAACCTAAATAATGGTAAAACAAAATCGTATAGCTATATAGGCTACAACTAATCTCCTGATTTTTTTGTAATGACGCTCTATAATATATATGTTGTGCAATAAAAGTTAACATATTTTAATCTACTGAAATGAATCTCATTATAATAGCGCTCTTTTCTATCTAGGCTTTTGTATATACACTTTAAATCTATTCCTTCCGCCATTCATGTATGTGGCTTCCTTCCCTGTTACCCAAAATAACTTCAGCAATAAAATATTAGCATACTTAAGTGGGGACTCAATAAACATTTGTTTAAATGAATAGATGAGTGAATAATTATAAAATGCTGAGAGGTTTGCATTAGTTTATAGAATTGTGTGCTTATACGTTCAGGTATGTACATCTAAATGAGACTTAATAATAGGCATCAAGTAGCAGTGAAACATTCATCCATTTCTGTCCTAATAATTCCACTTCAAAACATTATATAATTCAAACTACAATGAATATATGCTGAGGTAGGGTAGTTCATTTACAATCACAGGTATTTACACACTTCAAAATAAGATTTGAAATATTAATACTAATATGAAAATAATTAATAACCTAAATGTCAATGTGTTCGTAAAATAAAAGTTCTAAAAGTAAAGAAGAATGCATTATGTTAAGCCTAAATGCATGTGTCTAAAAATGTAATCAACTCAATTTCTTAAAATACCTTTAAAAAAAGGTTGTACAAAGGAGTGTCTGTTATACCCAGTTAACAAGCAGCATCTTAATATGGGACTTTTTTCATTTTAACATATGTAACAAGTAGCCCAGACAGAATATGTTGGTAAGAAATTTTATTGGGTATTACAGCTAATATTTATTATCAAATCTTAAGTTTAATACATACTACAAAATATAGCTTTACCACTATCGAAAAATTTAACATTTCTTAAAGTATGTTCTGACACCTTTGTTTTTTAATTGACTTATTTTTTATTATACTGTTAGAAAATAATTGGACATAAAACAGTCTGGATATAAAATAAGTTTGTCCTTACTGAGTTCGCTGCAAAGAAGTTAGGAAATGAGCTAGCAAATAATTTTTTTAACGTTAAGGGCAAATGGTCTTAAATAAACGAAAGAAGTTGTATATTTAGTAAACCTGTCTAAGAAGTAAATTAAAGTAAATAAAAATCGGTAACAAGACGGTCACTATTAAAATGTAACTCAAATTTAAACTGATTTACTGAACTTCCTTTTTGTTTCATATATTGTTGGTTTTCAGTATAGGCGTACATGATCCTGTGATCAGTTTATAAAGGAAGCCTGTCGCCATGCAAACATCTCCTTTTCCAGTGCCTATCAGCATGTCTTTTATGTCTTGGCGTCCATTTTAGGAGCATCAGCGAGGTGGTGTATAAAGAAGCTTATAAAACAAAGGTTGTCGTTTTGGCAACCCACATACCCATTAAGTGATTTCATTTTATGGAAGATCAAGATGGTGATTAGTAAAAAAGTTGAAGAAAATACTTCATCTTAACTATGCAAACACCTTTATTAGGTTTCATATATTTTTAAATAGCATTTGTATATTAAATGCCATTCTCAGAACTGCTGATATGTCATTATAATACTACAAAAACCATTTCAAACAATTGATTATTTAAGGCGCACAATAATAAAAAGCTACAAACAAAAAAAAATTGTGAGAGGATTAACAAATCCATGATTACATACTCAAAACAAAAACATCCTGGAGCAGTCTTTTATACTACCCAAAATTATTAGTACTTATGTGAATATATATGATTTTCCTGTATTCTTTTAGACTATAAAGTAAAAAGAAAATATGATAGTATAGGAAGTCAGAACCTACTACAACTCAAACTCTCTTCTTTAGAAATAGAATACTTACAATAAGGGTGGTCCACAAAAATACGTGCCTTGCAGTTAACCTCTCCTACAACAATGCTGATTTTTAAGAGCAGAACTATCATCATCCAACCATAACCGGGCCTCATAGGTAGTATTTATTGTTCAGAAATTAGATATAAAGTATATATGTGAGTAAAATACTGGGTAGTACTAAAAAGAAAATCGATGAACTTTCTAGATTTTCCTTCTACTTAAAACATTTTGAGAGAGCCAAGCTACAGTAATCATTTACTTATACAATCTGATCAACTAAAAATAAGGAAATTTTTCTCCATGTTATTTCAAGCACAACTCACTACTTCTTATCCAGAGGATTCAAATTTCTATTCTCTATCATTCCCAGCCAACATCATAAAAATTACCTTTTACCATTTCCTCCTCACAATGAGAATTCCCTAATCGCACACATCTTTTAGACATAGACACCTCCCCACCCACCTCCCCACCCACCTCCAAAAACTGGTTCAGAGCAAAGACACACACAAAAATAATGACCAAGCTCACATTTCTTGTTTGCCCTTCAAGCGAAGTCTGGTGTCTTCAGCTTGCCTTTCTGGTCTTCAGTGTTGTCACTCATTGCTGGGGGATGTAGTTTAGGACAGCATGAAGCAGCAGAAATAAAAGCTGTTGCTTTAAGAAAACGTTGTCTTAAACACAGATAAAACAACTTTTACTCTGACTTCCTGGCTAGGTTGCATACAATCTCAGAAAGGCTCCTTGAAAAGTGAATGTCTACAAATGGGAAAAAAAAAATCAAATAAAATCTAAAAACTTACGTTCTGAACACATTCCGAAGGATGTCTGATTTGATTTGAAAGCAGGTTTGTATTGTTGAACCAACTTTTATTTTGTAGAAAATTAACATCCTCTCTAAATAGAAATTTGCCTTGCCATCTTCTATATTAATCCTGTCTCTCGTGGTATAATCATACATGCAAAAAAATCAAGTACAGGATTTCCCAAATGCATGGACACTGTGGAAGCTTCGTTTTGAAAAAGGCTTTTATTTCCCTTAATACTGGTGACTAAACGTCATTATATGTACCAACACTTTCAAATAGCCCAAGAGACTTAAAAAGCCTTCTAAGTTTGAAAACCAAAAAGTTCTGAGTTTTTCTGTACCCCAGGACGGTTTTCTTTCCTGAAGCTCAAGCCGAGAAAGCAGACAAAAGAAGCTGATTTGACTGAGCTGTGCCAAGTCTTGCCTTTTTTTCTTTCCTCAGCTCTCCCTCTGCCTCTCTCTCTCTCTCTCTCTCTCCCTCTCTCTCTCTCTCTCTTTCTCTCTCTCACTCTTTTGCTCCCAGTATGGCAACCTTCCGAGCAGTCTTGGCGGAGGTCCAGCCTGTGCCAGTCTGTCTGAATTCTTGTCTCCAAAAGATGTCCTTTGCGGATCAATTAATACATTTGAAAACAGGAAACTGTGGTACGATACCGAAATCCTGGCACCAACAGCATCGACTTCTGCCAAATCACCTTACAGATTTCATGGTATCATACCTTTCATAATCATTACTAACATGTTCCCAGAGCAATAATGAAGTACTAGAAGCCATTCACTGTGCAGCAATAAGGAATCTGTTCCCTAGAAATGTCCATATGCGACATATGCACAACCTGCAGTTAATCAAAATTCTCCTGTGAGAAGAGATGTATGTAACTTTAATAAGCACCACCACATACTGTATTTCTTTTTATAAGACTAGCTGTCTCTTGCCCTGCTGCAAAGAATCATGGGAGAACAGAAAAGGAGGCACACAGATTAAAATTAAAACTCTCTGCCCAAATAAATCATGCTTTACCCTATGGGAAAAGAACATAGTTCTGAATGATCAGCAATTCATATTATTAAAGAAACTCTAATATAGACTGTACCTATCCAAAATTTTATTGGAGACGAAGGGGATAAAGAGTTTTTTCCAAAACATAAATATCAATTAAAAGGGAAACAAAACAGGGTGGATTTAGTAAAATTACATGTATTTTAATATTTTAAACCTCAAGTTTCATAGTCAACATAGTCAGTTGTTTGCTAAATTCATACTAGTACATCTAATAAGTATAAATAAACACTGTTAATTTTATTTGTAGCATGCACATCTTTTGAAGCAAAATAGCTGCTCTGTGCTCACACATCTATCTGTCCTTTGTGGATCAATTAATATTGGGTTGTCGGACAAGTCATGATGCATTTTTGCAACGAAAAACATAGAAAAAATACGTCATGGCTTTTCCAACAACCCAATACATTATAAAAACAGGAAACTGGGGTACATTACCCAAGTCCTAACACCGACATCATCAACTTCTACCAAATCATTTTCTGCCATTTCATTTAAGGATTCTTTTTACCTTTGATGCTTGAAAATACAGAATAGCCACATTATAATCACCATGGTTTCATAGAAAGAACCCAGAATGCTAGGTTCTAGTCCTTTGCTCTGTCTTTCTAATTTATGTAACCTCAAAATCTCGAATTGCTTAATCTATATAATCCTCAATTTGCTTATCTATCAAATATAAAAATCAGTGACTTCCTCCTCTGTGTTCCAAAAATACTGTTTATACTCAGTATATCTTCATTCCTATTGTATAGCAATTAGTTGATTATGTGTCCCCTACCATCCAAATGTGTCATCCTCACAGGCAGGATCACCTGTCACTTTTCTAAGAAAACTATGAAAGTTTTGCATAGAGCTTTTCATATGCAGGTGCTCAACAAATCTATTAGGTGAATGAATTATGTCAATGGATCACATAAATATCACTCTAAAGTTTCATAAAACTATGAAATATGATAATGAAAAACAAAACTATGTATTACTAAGTCATAAAGTTGATAGATCAGAGAAATGCTACAGAGATATAACGGTTGAATTAAAGCACTAACAAAAATGTTCCACACTATCCTTTCAAATAGGGATGGTGAAACACAGGCAGGATGACAGTGGGTTTACAATTTATAATGAAATTATTGGAAACTAAAGAAAAAGAGAATCTTGAAAGCAACAAAGACAAGTGACTCCTCACGTACAAGGGAGCCTAAATAAGATTAACAGCTGATTGCTCATTGGAAACCATGGAGGCCATAGGGCAGTGGATGACATATTCAAAGAAAAAAAATCCACCAAGAATTCTCTATCAGCAAAACTCTCCTTGAAAAATCAAGGAAACATTAAAACAGTCTCAGATAAACAAAAACAGAGTTTATTGCTAGCAGATCTGCTCTATAAGAAATAATAAAGAAACTTTTATTTTAGGCTGAAATAAAAGGTGATTAGACTGTAACTTGAATCCACATAAAGAAATGAAGAGCATAAGTAAAGGTAACTATAAAAGCAAATATTAAAGTCAGTATAAACATATTTTTTTTGTAATTCTTTTTCTCCTATATGATTTGAAAGATAACAGCATAAAGGAATAATCATAAATCTGTGTTGATGGACACACAATGTATGAAGATGTAATTTGTGACAGCAGGATAAAGGAGGGATGGAAAGTACTATATAGGAGCAAAGTTTTTGTATACTATTGAGATTAAGTTGATATTAATCTGTATTAGGTTGTTATAAATTAAGATGTTAACAGTAATCCCTAGAGCAACCACCAAAAAAAATAAGGAAATTAAAATGTTACCATAGAAAAATATTTTAAAACATTTATTTAACACAAAAGAAGGTAGTGGTGGAAGGAGCAAAAAAACAAAGGTACAAAGAAAACAGAAAAATGGGAGAAGTAAATCCAACTTCATCAGTATTTAAATTAAACTTAAAGGAACTAAAGACTCCAATTGAAATCCAGTTGGCAGAATGGATAAAAATAAATGATATAACTATATGCTGTTGACAAGGGACACACATTACAAGTATATTCAAAGATACAACAGGTTGAAAGTAAAAGGATGAAAAAATATATACCATGCAAACTGCAACCATAAGTGAGTGGAGTGGTTACACTAATATAAGACAAAATAGACTTTAAGACAACAATTGTTACTACAGATAAATAAGGACATTTTACAATGATAAAAGAGTCAATTCATCAAGAAGAAACAACTGTTATAAACATATATACACATAACAAAAGGGCCCCAAAATACATACAGCAAAAAATGAAATAACTGAAGGAAGAAATAGACAATTCTACAAATAGACAATTCTCCAATAATAGTTGAAGACCTCAATATTCCACCTTCAATAATGGATAGAACACTATATAGAAGATCAGCAAGGAAACACAAGATTTGAACAACACTACAAAATAACTAGATCTAACAGACATCTCTAACAACACAAAGCAATAATTATACATCTATGTTGATGGGCACACTCAACAATAGCAGAACAGACATTCTCAAGTGTTACACAGAACATTCTCCAGGACAGAGCATATGTTAGGCCATGAAACAAGCCTCAATAAATTTAAAAATATTGAAATCATAGAAAGTATTTCTCCAACCATGATGGCATAAAAGTAGAAATCAATATCAGCATAAAAAATTAGGAAAATCATAAATATCTGAAAATTAACACTCCTAAATAACCAATGAAGAAATAATGAAGACTAGAGTGGAAATAAATGAAATAGAGAATAGAAAACAATAAAGAAAATCAGACAAAGATATTGCAAGAAAACTACAGACCAATATCCCTTATGAATATAGATGCTAAAATTACAAACTAAATACTAGCAAATTGAATCTAGCTACATATAAAAAATGGATTATAAACCATGACCAAGTGGGACTTATCCCAGGAATGCAAGGTTGGTTCAACACAGAAAAAGCAATCAATGTACTATATCATATTAATAGAATAAAGGACAGAAACGACTTTATGATCTCAGTAGACACCGAAAAAGCATTTGACAAAACCCAACATCTTTTCATGATGAGAAACTTGGATCTGCATTAAAAAGAGCACTGAAGAAGGAGGAAGTGAAGGTAGAGTAAAAATTTTTATTGTTCTTATTTGAAATGATCTAACAGATAATGGTTTGTTCAAAATAATAGCAGCAATGTCCTCAAGTATATCCTTTCTGTATATATATGTGTATATGCATTTGTGAGTACATACACACTTACATATGCTTATATACTCATATAAGTGAAATGAATGATAGTAATGATACAAAAAATGGGAGGACAAATTAGGGTTATTTTGTTATTACAAGATACTCACACTACTTGTGAAGTAGTTAGTATAGTGTTATTTGAAAGTGGATTTTGATTAGTTGCAAATGTTTATTGCAAATTCTAGGGCAATCATTTTTTTTAAGTGTAAAAATAAAAGATGTCTAATGACACTGAGTAAGGAGAAAACATGGAATCATATAAAATGTTCAATTAAAACCAGCAAAAAGAAAAAGAGAAGACAAAAACAGGAACAAACAACAAGGGCAACGAATAGAAAACAGTAACAAATATGGTAGATATTTATACAACTATTTATCAACAATCATTCTCAACATCAATGCTCCAATCAAAAGGCAGAGATGTCAGAGTGGATCAAAACATAGTCTACACAAAATCTTGTACACAAATAATCATAGCAGTATTCTTCATAATAGCCCCAAAGTGAAAACAATCCAAATGTCCGTCAACTGTGTGTAAACAAAATGTGGTCTATCCATACAATGGACTATTTATGACTCAGCAACAAAAGGAATTAAGCACTATAACATGAGTGAACATTTGAAAAAATTATGGTAAGTGAAAGAAGTCAGACACAAAGACCCACATACCATATGATTTTATTTATAGGAAAGGTCCAGAATAGGCAAATCCATAGACACAGAAAGTAGACTAGTGGATGGCCGGGCTGGGCAGAGAGAAGAATGTGGAGTGACTAATGGGTACAGGGTTTCCTTGTGGAGTGATGAAAGTGTTCCGGAATTTGCAAATGATTGTTGATAAATATGGCTGCATACCCTAGTACATGTACTAAAAAATGCTGGGTTGTATACTACAAAATGGTGGATTTTATGGTATAAGAATTAGCAGCCCATCCGTCTAGTATTCTTGAGGATTGTAAATGATTATATCTCAAGGTAAACCCACAAAAGCTCTTTTAGCCTCTTACGTAGATGAAATACATACATTAGCTAAAACCCTGGCTGTGAATCTGCTTCAGGAATCCGCCCAACACATTCTAGTCCCTTAACGCTGTTTTCACTTCTTGCTTCTATCTCAGCCCACACCACCCTTCCTGGCCCCGGTGAAACACCGCTCCCTTCTGCCCACTCTCCTGGTTCTGGCTCATCAGA